TATAAATCTTATCATTGATACTACTAAAACATCAATGATCAATTGCTATATTGATAAATTTTAACATTTCGAAAGGATGTTAAATTTTCACATACATTGTGATCTTTATGACAGCTATATACGAAAAAAAAGAACCCATCATCGCTCATATTTCAAATATGTCTCCAGCGAATAAATGCTTACTCATAGATATACAGCATCATCGAAGCAAGTAACACGTCCAGCTCCTATTCTCGAGTAATGGTTTTATCGTGAATTTTTCTTATTAATTAACACAACTCAGATCAGTGCTTTACTCGTTTGTGTACCTAGAACGCAGTAAAAAGTAACGCTGGTCCACATTCATCCTAGTAAGAAAGATGTTACAATTTTTCTGTACACGAGGAAGCTAAACTGTTCTATAAAGCTGATAATCAACTCCGTACTGTTTTGGAGCACTAAAAAACATGAAAGATATCGAGAATTATGAAGCTTTAATGAATATTTCAGATTTTCATTACAATGGCTGTGTGAACATCTTGTTATTGCTAATCTCTGCTCAATTTTATAAATCTTAGTGGTTTGGAGTCATCAGGAACAAAAAACTACTTGCTGTCGTAATTTGGTTAACATCTTTCCACTATCGCTCGTTAACGTTCAATTCGCAAAATCTACCATTTCACTTCACTGCTTATGATGCGCACCTTTTTCTCTTTACTATTTTGATTGATATGGATGGAAGTGACAAAAGCTGTTGACCTTTCGATTAATTCTTTCACCATATTCAAGGTATTAGTCTTCATGATATCGAATTACGATGTACATACAGACCATAGGAGCGCACAGAGATGAAGAGAGCTAAGCAATGAAGATAGGCTATCAATGAACGTCGCTGCAAAATGATCGACTTCTCATTGTTGAATCAAGTTGAGATTTCAGCAGTGGATCAAATTGGAATTACGTCAAATACAACTTTGAAAATGAAAAAGTAACTTAGCACAAATGGGTGATTAACCTCCACAAGTAGAAAAATTCGAACACAGTAGTACTTGAAATTCCATAGCGCTTTCCGTCCGTTAGATTTGTAAATTACTGTAAGCAGAAAGAATATAGAATTACATTGATTGGCTCACTAACAACACATTATCAAGATGAGAAATATAGTGCCGCTCAATACAGTTTGAAATGAGGCATGACCAGTTCAGCGTTCTCAAAATCACTCGTTAGAAAATATGGTTAAAAACTGTAAATTAATCAGCCATCATTATTTGTTCCTAGCATACTTGCGAGCGTCTAATAATCTGACTATCACTCTTGAACCTGATAATCTATACTAACATTGAGAACAATCAAAGTACGGAACATTTGTTATTCACATACCGAAAGAAGTGACAGGAATTATATGTGCTACTGCTACTACTAAGTATAAATCTAATGTAAGGCAATCTATAGTAGTTAATCACTATATAGCATGGAAAATATTAAATGATATGTCCTATCTGCTTAAGTTATGGTTCGTCCGTAACGCGTAAACAGTATTGTACCGATATAGAATTTCTTAAACGAAAAAATAGCACGATTAGCACGTCACATTAGACATACCCATTCACTGCTGCTAAGAACAACACTGATATCTTGCCACCACATGGTCCATACTGACAACCACTAAAGACTGATTTAACTAGGCCCTTTAAGAATCGAGTACCTATCTCTCAAAAGAGGAGATACGCGTATTTCAGGAACCAGTATTCACTTCTCGGCAACACCTAAACTCACAGAAATGCATTATACTTGAGTAACGTTCTCAAATCTAAACACTTAGTTTTAGAACGAGCTACACAAAGAAAGAATACAGTGTATGTAACATTTGGCACCAGTTACTATGTCGATCACTGCAATTTAGTACAAAATGTGCATGTCTTGATGACTAAATGATAGATATCGAGCTAACTCAATAGTGCCGCTCAATACAGTTTGAAATGAGGCATGACCAGTTCAGCGTTCTCAAAATCCATCATCCATGGCATGATGGAATCGATTCGTCGACAAAAATCTATTTTTTGTTGGACAAAAACTATAAATACCTAGACTGTTCTTTTTTTACGCCACCGACTTAAGGATGTCAATTTATCCGGAAACTGGTGTCATGAACTGCAACACATTTCACTTCTATCTACCAGTGAAGAATTTAAACGTGACATCAAGCACAATGATGACATACCGTGTATTTATTGCAATCACGTAGTCAATCTTAAGTGATCATACGCTTAACTGCTCTTTCACGCTGAAGATGCATCACGGATCTAGCTATCTCAAACTGCTCTGCCGCTAAACATGTAATTGCTGACATAACCACCGAACCAATAAAGACACCAGAAGCAACCTCAACACCAACCCAAAATCGACCTAATCTCCCCTCTCAACCCCTATCTCATCCCCATCTCACTCCCTACCCCATCCCCACCCCACGAAGTTAACGAAAACAGTGACTCTGCACGAAACTGCATCCTTATTTATACTCCTTCCTCTTGCTCTCTGTCCAACCTTCCTCATATCATGTCACATACATAGTGAGGTAGATAGTTGACATGCTATGTATTCGAGAAAGAAAAAGAGAGTAGCACGCAACGTGTCTTAACTGTTTTCTCTCCTCCCATTTCTCTCCCCAACATGTACTTTTTCTTCGCCGATTGTTTGTTTAACTACTCGCCCAATGCTATTTCACGGAGAAAGAGAGGAAAAAAGTCAACAAATGTTGTTATCCAAACAGCATCGATCCGTCGAATCATTTCTCTGATAAAGAAAAAGTTGTCATTTGAGGATGTTACGAAAATATGTGAAATCACAATTTCAATACAGTGTATAAATAAAATGAAAACCCGAATGTAATAGCTGGCATTCGCAAAAATCTGTGCTCTTTTTGACTTCATTTTACGGTACAAAGCAAGAGATAGTAAATTATAAAAAATGACGCGAAATGCACCAAATAAAACAGTTTGTATTGATTTTAGATTTGGTGAGACATAAAACGACCCAATTTGGTTGTAAGTTTTCTGCAGTGGGAAATTTTCCACGGTATGAATACATAATAAGAATCTCATTCATAAATTTAACGTTTTGCAGTTGTATTATCATTAGTCCTTTGTAAGCACTCAGAATTATCCAAATTTTAGTCATCACAAGTCCCTAATTACATTACTTTTATCGCTAATTACTATATGATCTTAAATTTTTATCGAAATAAATTGAAAGCATGACTTTGCAAAAATATTTCTTCTCAATTAATATTTTATAGTTTATCTATAGCAAAATCGTATCTCGCATTATTTTACAATTTAAATTGAAGAATTGTTTGCATTTTTCTTAATAAAAATCTGCTTCAAGCAATCATTATTCGTGAATAGTTGTGAAAAGAACTGTATTACGACGTATTCAATTGCAATCAAGAAATACACCGAAAAACAATATTTCGACTTAGCAAACATCCATATATTCGGAAAATTCCACCGCGATATCGCGTTGTCACAACTATACCAGTCAACGGATGCATAATTCAGTCCTTTCGAAAATTGCACACATGCCTTGTACCATTTTGCTATAGATGGTCTCAAACACAACTGCACTTATTGATCCATTATCGATTTTATCTGTTGGTTGCACACTCCTCAATGAGCCGATGCTCAGTTTTGCCCACTTTCTCTTTCTTTGTCTACATGATCTTTTTAAGTTCCTCTAATGATATTTTCTCTCAAATTTCCCACTCTTTTTGTTGTTTTCCTCTCAAATAACTAATCTTTTTCATGAAAAAGCGTAATTCGATACTCAGCAGGTGGAGCTTTTCGAAGTTTCTGGAAGACTTTTCAGCTGGTATATAAAGATGCCGTGGCGCATACCTCAATATTTCACTTACGGCATTGAAGGTGTGGTGTACATTATGATTGGGGTGTTCGTGAATATTGGTATTCTACTATTGCTAGGTTTGGGACTCGATTGATTTGTTAGGTGTTCGGTATGAGGTCCGATGTGAATATGGGGTAGTCGAAAATTTTCTTTGTGTAAGAGATCTGCAGGTCAGACTTGTGTCAGTATGGTCGAGGCGTTTAACCTTTCTAGCTAAGGTAAGTAACTCTTTCAATATTGTAGCAAAGTACTATAGAGTGGTGTATGGAAATATATTTCGGTGCTATTAGCTTTTTGGTATCGCAGCATATACAGTTTTGTATCAAATGCTGTCTTAATGAAATCTATTTCACATGAGTGACAGATAGCGGTAGTTAAAGTTGTAGATCAGTAAGCGTATTGATAACATGTTTTCTACCGTTGCTTTTTCATGAGTTGCTACTGTTTTTCAGATGTGGTTGAGAATAATTGGTTAGGACACATTGGTTAGCGCGTGTAGGAGTCACTGAAGCTACAAAATAAGAGGACTTTTAAGGTTTTTGATTTTGTGATTTCTAAAACACTTGAATGGGCAAGTTGTTGAGTTTCTGACACTTAATAAGGGAGAACTAGAGGCAATGTAGTGTAGTACAGAAGAAGGGGAGCTGTTATGTCCGAAGATATGGCACCATACCATATAAAGAATTTCAGGATTGAAGAGGTTGAGTACACTCAGATGATAGGTTTGAGGACGATTCCTGAGTTAATGTAGCGTCTCGTTGGAACAGTGTTATTCAGAGTTCTATTACGTTACGAATTTTGGGTCCTAACCGAATAGATCCAATCACTCCATCCTGTTTTAACAAATTACGAAGAAGTTGAAAGTCAATCCAAAAGTCGCAATTAGCTTTGTTTGAAAGAGAGATAACATCTTGCAGATTTGAGCGGTGCAGTTTTTAGCTGGATTCGGAGAAGATAGCTGTAAGGAGCTGCATGACGTGATTTATCCTATTTGTTGCTTATTTGGTATATTTGTTGTTGAATGAGAAATGTAGTGAAGTTTACAGTGATTCGTTTACGGATCTTAAAAACTCATTTGTTGCCAGCAATAATTGTAATTTATTAACGGTCATTCAGATATTGCATTATGCATTTAGAAGTTATCAGGACGTTGTAGATATTGTTAGTGGTAGCTAATGATAAACTCTACATGTAGTGATGCAATAAAAATAATGGTTCTAAGTTGTAATGAATATCCGATCATAGTGAAAAGGAGAAGTAAATATTAAAGGAGGTGAGTATTCCTGCTAGTCGATTACACAGTTGTGACTAGCAGTGTCATCAAGAGTAAATGAAATAAGTTCTTGAAATAGTACGCTGTCGCATTATTGGTGGTATAATTGTAGTAGGAATCAAAGTTCTTGGGAAGCATTCACTTCCGAGCTTTTGGTTGAACTCATAGTTTGTCTTGGGAGGTTAAGCTTATGAAATTGTGCAGACGCGAGTAGAATGAGTGGTTTCGTAGCAGGGCAGTGAAATGCGATAAGCTGAGGTGAAATGATATTTTGTATTCTGAATTACGTAAGACTGGTAGGTGTTGGGGGTGTACGTACTTTTGTGATAGGAACTGTATTATTTTGGGTTATTGTCTGTTTCTAGCCAATCTCAGATAAGTAAGAAGTGACGTCCTATTTTAGGGTTCTAATTTTGTACTCTACCATTAAGAAGATTTAGAACTATTTGGTGTGGGTAGATTTGAAGTTGTGGATATCATATATCTGCTGGCTCTTCAGTTTAGTTAGATCTTGATCTTACTCAAGAGAGTTCGTTTCGAGTTTTCTGTTAGAATGCTAGTAGCAGACAAGTGATCTAGTTGATTGACTAAAGGTGAAGTCACATCCGTGTTCTTATCTCTGTTGGTCCCCATCGCTTTCAGTTACTCTAGGCAGGTACATGTAGTAGTCCTTTCTAGAACTGTTCAGAGGCGTCCCGTTGTAGGTAATTGAGTTCTACAATCAGTTTGGAGGCGTGAAAGTTGATTGCTTTCATGTCAGCTGTTTGGATATAGCGTGTGGTGAGCGCTATATCGTAGGTAGGCTGTGAGTTGCATATGCACTTCTTTTAATCATAGTGCTATTGACAGTGATTATAAGTTTTTATAGGACGTTTTACAATTGCGATATCAGGCCAATATGTGCAGAACACGGTTATGATTTCAGCTGTTTGAGAACCAGACGGGATAGACGACTTTATAGGGTGTGTGGTGACTAACACGGTTAGAGGAATAGACATTAGTTTTAGAGTGCATGGATATTTCAATATTTCATATTTAGACACACATTTTCCTTTTAGACGAGAACTAAGTAGATCACTGGTTTTGGAAGTTGTCCATTTTTATAGCTGTGTGGTATGAGGTACCTGACATATCGTTGGACTGTCCTCGCGTTATACTGTTATCTTGCTTCAGTATATTTTTGTTGTAACTAGGATTTTAGTTTTAATCGGATAGTGTTTTGGGATTAATTAGTTTGGCCTTTACGTGGTAGCATTTGGTATTGCTTAGGCTGTGACTAACAAGGTTAAGGTACGACTCCCGAATGATCCATAAGTTCCAACATCAGAACTGACTATCATTTTATGTCCTATAACAAGGAATTGTGGGTTGCACGCTGCGTGATATAGTAATTTACAGGTTTCGATTGACCATGCTTAATAGAATAAGGCGTGTTATGTCATGCTTTGTAGCAAATAAATGGATTTTTGGTTTGTGATGGCGCAACGGTGTGGTGTGATCCTCACTGGAGCATATATGCGTCTAAGTAATATAGATATGAGACAATTTAGGACTTTTGAAGTCGTAAGTTGTAGGAGGTGATTTTCCTGAGTTCCCGAAATCAGTATAGTGGTAGTAAGTGACACGCAAATTAGGACGTGATGTTTTATCTAGTTGTAGGTAGTTTAGAGTTTGCTAGCAAATTGAAATTAGAAAAATATAGGTAGTCGATGGATGAGTTCAGTGTCAGGAAGTGGACTTGAAGTCGAACATATCATGACTATATATTAAATAAAGCACTGCACCGTTGTGCTTAAATTTTGATAGTGCTAATAGTTCTCGATATGTCGTAAGTACTCCAAGTTGCCTTATTGCTCAAGAATCATGCTGTCAGTAAGTAGTTGGGCGTAGTTTTAAAATTAGTGCAACTGGACTTTTGAATTAATTGGTGAAGAGTAAGTCTGGATTGTTAGTGATTTTAGAGGGGAAGTCTAAGAGTTTTGTTCAGGTTAGAATTGCTTTCTATTTCTCATGATTTTCTGTGGATAGCAAAGCAAGAAATAACAGATGTAGGAATGGAATTGTCGTGTTTGTCAACGAAGAGTGCAACAAGTGGTCGGGGTGTCGTAATAAATTATGTACAGGCATTTAGGTACTTGAGTAAATCCATCTAATTATCAGTTATGTATTTGTTAGCTATGAGATGTTTGTTAGTCTTGTACGCAGGATAGTATAAGTCGAATTTTTAGGACTTTTGTGGAGTCATGGAAACGTTTCCTTCCGTGACGACTGCTTTGTTAATGGCGTGTGGTGTGCGTCATATACAACTTAGGTAGGTTGTGACATACTTTGGACGGGTTCATAGTGAGATATTAAGGTAGAATTTAAATATCATTTAGTGTGAATTGGCTATATTTAGGACGATGGAATGCCTGTACTATTTGCGGTATGCATAAAATACCGATCTTGTTGCTTTGCACGCGTTTGGCACACACTTCAGTTTTGGTGCAATTTGTTATTTCTTATTGCTTTCCACAGGGAGTGGTGAAATTAGCTGTTTTGGTGTAGCCGAATAGTATTTTGACAGTAATTGCATTGGATAAATAATCATGATAACAGTAGTGTTGTGTTGATGGTGAGATGGAATACAATCAATGTCCACTCTTTTGAGGTGTGAAAAGAAATTACTAAGTTGAAAAAGTTACTTCGATTAGTTTTTTGTCAAAATATATATGGCCTTACATGAGAGTAGTAGTTGTGTGATTGGTTATAACTTGGATGAAGAGCTTAGTAGTGATAATTTACGTCGGATTATGTTTGAAACTCATTTGGTATAAGGCTTGTAACAACCTTTTGTTTGTCTACAACTGGTCACAGTTACTATTCACCTATTCACTGTTAAACCTTTACTTGGAACTGTTCTGTTTTGTTAGTATCGCAGTATCACTTGATGGAGCAAAAGTTTTGGGAGATTTGCATTATGTATATGCATGATGCGCAGAAAGAATTTGTGCAATATAATTGAACCAGTTTTAGTCTAATGTCCAAGCGTTTTTGAGCTTGATTAGTTGCTAATGATGGGTATTTGTATATGTTGCATAGTATGGATGAGTGGTACTTGCTACTTACTGTTCAGTTGTGTATTCTTTAAGATTGCCCACAGCCAAAATTCCAAGGCCACTAAGTTTTTACTGGTCTTAGTAATCAAGATGTAGTGTTTAATGTGCAAACGATTGGTTGGAATGCCTGATTAAGTCAAAGAAACATTTGGCGAGATTAGGTGACTTAGTATTTGTTCATTCATCAATATAGATATTAGTCTCGGTTTCGACGTAAAATTTTCAGTCAATATCATGAGTATATATGAGCAAATTTTACGTCGAAACTGCTCTTTCTGGAACTCGAAATTTAATGTTTAGAAATCGAACTGAGCAGTGTCATATTGTCTTAATTGCAGCTGATTCCAAGTTGTGCAAGATGAAGTGAGAAAGATGTGAGTTAGAATCTGATGTACCGTAAGGTTTTTTTTATTAAATAGTGCATGAAGTAGCTTTTAAGTAACAATCAGAGCGAACTACTGATTTGACTCTGAAACAGTTGTTAGGAACCATATTCTTTGTTCTTAAAAATCTTATTTCTACCAATTTAACCACTAAATATTAATGAGTTACTATTGAAGGATAGAGCATAGCACGTACAGGCTTCTTATTCATTTGGTCTTGTTTCTGGTAGTGATTCTTCGGTTCTTAGCGAATGTATTTCAAATTTCCAGCTGCTCACTCAGGGTTTCTTGGGCTGGTCAAATTGGTTATAGTTGAATGAAAAAAAAATTGGTAAGCTACTCGAATTCACTTCACTTTTTTTGCAGAGCGCACGAAATTAGCAGAATTTTCGTTGACAGAATGAAATGCCAGAACTGTGACTGACTAGAAAGTTGTTGATTTTCATTATTAACTTTTAAGTGCTATCCGAGCAAGATGTGTCCATCATTTATTTATGATTAATCTGTGATGTGTGGAGTTCTTGTTTTTGTCTGACTTTTAAATTTAAAAAAGCTTTAATGTTTCTTATATGTGCAGTCACTGTTGTTTTGAGATGTTGAGATAAGCAGTTAGTGTGTTGGGAAGTTGAGGTAAGCTATTATTGTGCCCGAAAGTTGAGTTGGGAGAGTGGTTGGTCTACAGGGATGTCTAGTTCAAGCGTTATGGGGCAAATTTTCAAGAGCGCTTTCTCACAAGTAAAAATGGTTTTCAAAGTTGAGATTAGCGTTATGGGGCAAAATTACGCTTTAAACATATATTTCGACAATGGTATTTTTTCTGTTACAAAAATCACAGTTTGGGAAAACCACTTTTGTGGTTGTTTTTTAAAATATATATTTTCGGAATATTTCGCTCTGCTTTTGATGATAAAATAAAATATATAAATGTGGAAGCGCAAAGCTTCCACTGTTTAATTTTTTTGAAGCCATATTTTGGAATACTTTTGGCACACTTTTCGATGCTTTTGAATAAACTTTTTTCTTTTTCTGTGTATTTTGCATTGACAGTATACGCGGTACATATATTAAAGAACAGCTCACAAGTCTCAATTGTATCCTCGCAATGGGTTTGACTGTAACTCTATGCTGAAAGTAGTAAACGTCTTCTTGAGATGGGCTTGAATACATTTCGAAGTACGTATATGATGGATACATTTTTTGTCAGAGTAGTGTAATAATTCCTTCACATTATAGTGAACGCCTATTTCTACACCGATTTAGTGATCAAATCAAGCATGCACGGTGGTTTTGCACTGAGATTTGACATAGTATACACCACTGGCGAAAGTGAAGCTCTCAGAGGTTGGCGATCATCATACTACCGTCATCACTATTCATGCATTGGGACTAATGGAGTAGTCAGTGAAATTAGTAACTTGTGGGTTATTTCATAGTTTCTGCAGCAGTGCTCGGTTACAATTGGTTGCCTGTGATGTTAATTGTATTTTGCTACTAATTTTACCTCTTCGAAAGTAAGTACTAAATCCAAGTCGGAGCACGTTGGAGGGAGCGCCGAAGGTACGCTGCACTTGGAAGTCTCACATCTTGGTGATTTCAAGTAAAAATAATTATCAGGCGTTTGTTTAAATCATCGCTAGAGTTAGTTTAAACTCTGAAACTATATTTTCAACAAATTTAAATCATGAATAACAATGTGGCAGTGGCTATCGTTGCAAATTATAAGTTTTATTATGGCAATAGCAGAAAAGCATATAGCTTATTAAAAAACTTAGAAATCGTTAAGTGAAGTAACTTGTCTAAGTGATCACAGTATTGTACAAATAATTTCATTATTTTTTACAACCTTTTACAAAGACAAGAAGAAGTTGAGGAATTAACAACACATCAGACACAATAATGAAACACAATTTTACAATCAATAATATAATAAAATTCTGATTTCATACACAGCCTAATTTGTTCGAAGCACAAAGTTCCTAAGTAATGCAAGAAAACTCTCCAGCAGAGTTGTTCATGTCCAGTACAATCTCACTATTCAACTAGCATGTAGATCAAGAACATCCAAATTTCAAAAATTCTAATTCATACATCTAGTCCACTTGAAACTTTAGCAAATAGTTGATAACAGGTAATCAGATCATTGAAATCAAATAATCACTATTGCAACTTTAGCAAATAGTTGATAACAAATGATCAGATCATTGAAATCAAATCATTAAAGTTGAATTCAGCTCGCAGTAATATATAACTTTTAAATTTATTATGAAAGTTAACGGCATATAGTAACTTGAATTTATCCTTAAATTGATATCAAATTTAGACAACTGAAAAAATATTGTGTATTTTGATCTACTCAATAAGATAAACTCTCTAGCATTATGAAAGTAATGAAGGTGAAACAGTGAAATCAGTACCTATGTATATGGCATGATTAAGTACCCGGAATTGTGGATTCACTATATTCAGTGGAAGATTTGATAATGATAATGGCAATGATATACCTTTATTAAGTTGTTCATTCAATGCCTAAAAATAAACATAAAATTACTGATTATATTGTGTATAGTTTTATTATAAGATAGAATTTTAAAGTTTTATGTACAATTTTACTTACTTTTAAAGCTACTTCTTTAAACAACGATGCTAAATTATCTAAAGAATCCTGCTGTAAGCCTAATGTTCCTTCTCGATCTTGCAGCTTCAATACTGGCAGTGTTGCATTTCCGTAAATTTTATTCCCCCATATGTGAACCATAATATTGCTGATTATTTGAGCTGTTATGATTCCAACGCGTGTACTACTCCTATCCAAATAAAACTCAATAAATGCAAGTATATCTATCTGTAAGTTTCCTGAAATTATGCATAAAATTTTCATTCAAATTTGAAATTGTAAAGTTTATAGTTTTTGTTTTATTTATGAAATATTATAAAAGTATTGCTGACCTCCAGAAAGTATCATAAGTGAAGGTGCTCGTGCTGAACGGAAGTAAACTGCTAATGTTCGATTAGGATATTCTTCTTTTACAGCAGGTAAAATATCCCCTAAGCAAATTCCGAGATCTGACAAATCTGACAAACTTGACAAGAGATTAAGTCCTGAATCAGCTGATCCAGTTTGACGTTTATTACGTTGTTGATAATGAAGACGACGAAGAAGACGGCGACGACGACGACGTTCGCTTAAACGTGCAAGTCTGATAAACAACATTTCATTTTGAAACTCTTCCTGAAATATTGTTCTCAATATACAATTTTGGTAGCAATTCGTTCTATCAAAATAATTTAAAAAAATTTAAAAATAATGCTTTTAGATCATAGATTTTAGATAAGGTTAATAAAAAAGAAATAATCAAAAGCAAACTATTATTGTTTTAGGAAAAAAATATTGCTTAACACTTTAAGAATACAAAATTAGCTATTACTAAAATAAACAATATTATTAAAATAAGCAAATAAAAAGTATTATTTCACTGAAAATTGAATTAGTATAATAAATGAATAAAAATTAACATCTAAATCGTCTTCACCCTCATCGCAAGTTGTCACCAACAATGATTCGATGCCTGGTATTTCTTGCCCCAGACGAAATATCAAAAAGTTTTTCCTAAAAGTAATTTTGAATTAAATTAATGAGGTCAAAAAGTAATTAAAAGTATATAATAATACTTTTAGTTTAGATTGATGATAACCATCAAAGGTATTAATATTTATCTCAATAATTTTTCTGTTTTTTATATTTTTTCATATTGCTCAAAATTGATTTTAAAATATTAACCGTAATATATTATTAATGAACTATTATACTTGTGCATCCAGTATAATAATGAGTTGATAGTGAAATCACTAATCATTGCTTCTAGCATTTGTGAACCGATAGGAGTTGGCCACATCATAGGAAATGCACCAAATGGTGTACCACCATATCCTCTAGGACTGAATTCGCCATTCAAGCACAAGGTAAAATCATAAGGTGTTGCGTAAGTTTGTATTATTTGAGTTGTTAATATTACATCTGCCAATTTGTTCTGCAAAAAAATATTATCTAATCATTCAAATATTTAGTTAATAAATTACACTATTTTAATTATTTATTGCTCTCTAAAAAATTTACAAGTGTAAAATATATTATCTAATCTTATTTATAAACTTTTGCATCATTCTATTAGCTATAATATTTTAAAAATTATTCAATATGAAATACTGATACTTTTGTATATAAAATTAATAAAATAATCAAATATTAATAATTATTTTATTGCATTTTATGATAGCATATTTGATAATAAATTGATAAGTCGTATAAAAATATATCGTTTTTAATTTGCTTACGAAATTTATTTGCTGTAAAAGAGAATTTCGAATGCCACCAAATGGATCAGAAGCAATATTTGGACATCCAGGACAAATACTACCACCATTTGGTGCAGCAGAGCCACCAATTGCATTAACTGCTTGCATATTATTACCATATATAGTACTAGCATGAACAACAACAGGCATTTTATGTAACGTTGACCCATTCCTTGTTCCAAGTACTGGCAATTTCCTGAGAGAAGAATCACGTCGTAGTACAGTACCCAACGGAATCTTAGATTGCGAGGAACGCTCCAGATGTTTGGGATTTGTTGAAAAAGTATTTGCTGAAGCAGAAATTGTAATTCCTCTAATTAGTTCTCGTTTAGACCGTGTTAAAGATGCTGTTTGACGTGCGTTAACCTGAAAGCCAGTGTATTGATGTCAGAAAAATTTTAATAAACATATTGATGAAATCAATAATGCAAAAACAACAAAAATAATGATGATGATTTATAGATAATACTGTTATTAGGATGCTATATACTTGTTTTTTTAATCTTTTAAAAAATTTTTTCATGTGGACACTTCTATTTGTTCTTGATAGTATTCTAAATAAAAATTAGATAAGATTAAAAGTAATAAGTTTTAATATAAACAAACTTAGATGATGTCAGAAAAATTAATTTTTGTCACTGCATACTGTATCATCAAATTTAATAAATAAATCTGAAATGTGCGATTGACCTTTTACTAATGCATGTATAAATTATGAATGTTAAAAGTCATTAACAATTTTAACCATTTAGATAAAATTATTAAATATTTGAGAATATTGCAAGTGTAATATTGTACTGTTTTTACTTTGATAATACCATAAAACGTTAGAATTTGTCTTTGACAACATGTTAAACTTTATAAATTGGTTGAACGAGTGCTAAAACGTGATGCCTCACGTTCTTTGTAGCAGTATTGTGAGCTGGAATAACATTTTGTTGACGTTGCGTTAGAACTCTTAAGTTTCCATTTGTATTAGATAGCGCATCGAATCTTCCACGGAAATTAAGTTTGCTTGCTGTTCTTGATATAGCCACAGGTTTATTAATCATAATAGCTTTGTTACTGGCAACGAATGCTCGTGGTGGATATGATGATGGAAAAGCGCCATTACCATTTGTTGCTGCCAATGGTTCTCGACGTGGTTGACATTGTGGAGAGTAGCACTGAAGAACTAATAAATTAAAAAGACAATAATATTAATAATTAACTAATTAATTATTAATATTTATAATTTTTTTTACATAAATTTTTTAAATGTCTTTACTTTTTTTGTAAAAATTATTATTAATAAAAAAGTAGCTAACATAAGCTGGTACTCTCGGTCCGAAAGAACTCATTGCAAACGACGAGATTTGTGAGAATGGAATATATTGTGGTATACGAGCAAGTTGTGGATTTAACCGTTGTGTCAGTAGGTCTGGTACCATTTGACATATCTGCCCTGGCAGCATAGTTCGTACTGCTTCCGAAATTCTATCCTAAATAAGGCAGGATTCATGCATGCTTTTGAAAAATGAATTTCCACTTTAAGATCAAATTGGATACAAAATACTTTTAGTAAACTCTACTTTTAAAGATTTCATTTTTTGATTAACTTTTTATTAAATTCTAAAAATATTACCCTGAAAAACAGATTGGCTATATCACCTATAAAACCACCACATTGAATGCATACATCTGCTAATGGAATTTGCACATCACAATCACACACTTCTACTTGTAGTGACCCTGTAGGCGAGGGCGCTAATGACAGTGTCAAAGTGATACTGACCTTAAATATTAATAGCTAGAATTCAGAATATTATAAAAAAATAAAATAAAATAGAGTTTACTTTATAATAAAAAGATTTAAAATCAAAGGTTTACTTTTCAAAGCCAATTAAAAATATTAATTTCATGATTTTACTCATTTCTGCACAGAATTAAAATATATTAAAAATTATTTGACGAAAAAATGTATATTGTATCTGAGATTATTGCACATACGTGGTAAAAAGTAGCATGAATAATGCCATATAAGCTGAATAATGAAAGAAATACGCCATCCAGATTACCTGTCACTCTGTAAAGCTGATTTTTAACTTACAGGGTAAGAAAACAATAATTTTTTCTACGTATGATAAGTGTATACAACAGAAAGCAATCATTTAAGGCTATAAATTTTTGTCTACAAAAAAGTGTGTTCAGAAATTTAAAAATATTACCTGATGTCAAAATTTTCAATTTTTATTACAAGATAATTTGGTTCCATAGGACGGATTTCTACGCATTCTGGTGGTCGATAATGTGATATATACAAATTACAAATTGATATCTCAATACTGAGCTGTAAATAGACATTTCTAAGAATAATGTAAGACTAATTCTCAAAGAACAAAAGAACTCAAAGAATCATATAAGAATATAATTTTGAACAAAATATTAAAGTCAAAAATTAATTTATTTTTATTTAAATTAAATTAATGTTAAATATATTTTGATCACTTCTGATGCTATTAATTTTGCCTTATTAAGTTTTAATAAATATTATTTATTAAATACAAAAAGTGTTGTAATGACAATCACCTCATTCAATTTTTGATTTATGTCAGGTATTTCAGCACGAACCACTTCACGATTAATAATCATTGCAGCCAATTCACTTGCATACTGGAATGCACGTTGGTTAAGTCGAACTTTAATGCCAGGATTTCCACGTAAACCAGCAAGTAATGCAGGATTAAAATCCATAGGACCACGTACAACTACTGCACCATAAGAGCCAAAATTACCACCAATTACTCTTTTATAAGGTGCGGGAATAAGAACCTTCCTGTAAAATATATTAAACTCTATACAGGATAAGTTGAAACTTATTGAACTAATGCAATTTTGAATACGTTTGTTACTTTTGTTTATTTATGCTTGAAGAAAAAAAGTAAAATTACAATAAAAACTGTGAAGCAACTTTTCTCATTACTTACTTTACACACAATAATTTTATCAAAATAATTATGTTAAAAATTCGAAAAACTTTTAAACTAATTTTTTATTGTTTTTTTGTACAAAACACTTTATGTTTATAAACAAATTAGAATTATGATAACTGTTGAAATTTTACTTATCAGTAAAGCTATCAGGATAAAATGGTCAAATTTATGAAAAATGTATAATTAATGTTAAAGGAATTTGCGTGATAATATTGATATTACTTCTTTTATTTTACATTCTTTAATTTTACAAAATCTCAAAATACTTTTATAATTTGTTAATTATTATTACTTATTTTATAAAATATCAAAGTGATTATTAATTAGTTACTTAATCATTTCCATTTTTTCTAATTTTAATCACATTTCAAAATGAAAATAAACAGTACATGAAGTATACGTCAACATAATTTACAGCTTACCCTGGTTGCTGTTGAATCATATAAACTGCATTATTTTTTTGATTAATAATGCGCGGATACATTGCAGCATTTCTCGCTCGTCTTTCTAATAATTTAACAGGTTTTTGTCTATAATTATTCATAAGCTGAGCAGTGCCGGATATATCCGCATTTTGTCGGGTGTTAGAATAATTGTACGATTGTTGCTGCGCACTCTTAATGTTATTAGCTTCCTTACTAGCTCCGTTTACATCCACAATGATAGCCAGGATAAACAGGAAAGTGATAGAAATTAGCTGTAATTGTAGTAATGGAGCAATCGGATTCAAAAAATTTACTTAAACTAAACTTTTAACAAATGTTGTTCAATTTTTATCTTATCTAAATTATAAAATAAGCTAATGCTTTGTAAATGATAAATAAAATTTATGACTTTTAAAATGCTTTAAAGCATAAATTTTGTAAATATAAAATCAGTCATTTTTCAAAAAAAAAAAAAAATTAACAGATTTGAATTAGTTCATGACGTCAGTGTTTACAAATTAATTATAATAAGTAACAATTTTGTAATTTTTGTTCGTAAATTTTTATTTCAAATAAAATTCTGAAAAACTTCATTTCATCTCAGATATTGAATTCAACGAATAAAGTTTATAATAAGCAGAGCATTCAAAATATTTTTAAACTCAAAAAAGTAGCAAACTTTCAAATATTTAAAAACTTTTGAACTAAGACAGATATTTGACTTTATATTTTTCCCAGAAATTATGTTAGCTATTTAAATGAAAAATTTCAAAATATAATTTTAGATTAATTTCAAAATTATATTACTGTTTGTATTTGCTAATTAATTAAATACAAAAAAGTTTATTTGCTTAAAATTTGTGAAAATGAGCGCAATACGGCTAAGTAATAATGATCATAAAAACTGTCATATGAAAGTTTTTGTAAAAAAAATCTTTGTAAATCTGACCATTTGAGGATTTACAAATATAGTTTGTATGCTAATTAATTTGTTAAAAATTTGTTTGTAAGAATATTTTTCCAAATGTGTTGAATGTAAATAAATTGCATGCATTTTTCTTGTGAGAAAACCTTTTATTAATCAAAGAATTTGACTATAATTAGTTTTTTCTCACTAAAAAAAGAAAAAACTGAAATTGAATAGATTTTCACTGCTATAAAAATATTCACAAGAAAGTTTTGGAGTAAATTCAAATGAATTATTTCACTATTTAAAAAAAACTGGTTCTTTATTCGTTTTAAGAATAATGATTCAAAAAGTTGAAATCTTTCACCGGTAAAAAGCTTTTGTCGTGGAAATGATAGATTAATTTAAACAAGAATTTAATTCTGATAAAAACGATTTGTTACAACTTTATTTCAGTTTTTTATTTAGTGATAGTTTAATACATTATTATCAGATTGATAATTTTTTTTGTCGTTAAGATTAATAATTAACTTCAATTCGAGTATCTATTTTTCGGGATTTTTTACAACAATCAAAACTTGATCCGTATAATTTTGAGTTTTTTTTAATATATATTTTTTAAATAATTTGATAAAATTTAATGCTTCAGATGTCAACATTTTATCTTTGATGCTAATTAATAACAAAAAGTTTGTAAAATTTTGGAAAAGTACTTGTCAAGAGTGGTAAATCACTCATTAATTATTCATTAATTAGTGAACTGGGCTAACTTTTAAAAAGTTAGTCTTAACTTCCGATATATATTAATACTAAGCATTACTATATTTAATATTTGTTATTTGTTTTTTTAAAACAATATTATGTTGTCAAAATTTAATCCCATTGTGTAATAAACAGCAATATTTTTGTAAAATTTTTGTAGACGCCAAAATGGTGACAATATTTATGCCTTTTTCAATACTTTTTCATACAAATTTGTGCTAATTAGCGATGAAAGTTATTAAGATGTAAACTCACGCATGTTTTATCTCGGAAAAACATTGTAAAGCTGAGAAGAAGTCCTGGAATGAAATTAAAAGTTTTTTGCTGAGCAAACAGAAATGAGAATGAAGCAAGCAAAGCGCATTAAGAATCCCAAATTTTATTACTTAGTTCGGATTTAACAAATAACTAAAATAATGAATATTATTGCATATTTATTTTAATTTGATGCAACACAAACATATTTCGATGGTTTAATCAGACAAAATTAAATCACTATTTGTAACAAAATAAATTTCTGCTCCTAAGCAGTAAAAATTTCAGTCTTAGTGAGTGCTTTAGCAAAAAAGGATCAGTATAATTGTGAATAAAATTAGAATTTTTGCAAAACTCATCCATTGAGATCTTCTAGTAATAAGTATTTTGTATAAAAACAGAAAACAGTGATAATATTTGACCAATTTTTAAATACAAAAATAAATCATCAGAAATTAAAGTTTCTCAGAAGAGACTTTTCAGTGGAAGTGTCTGCAAAACATATTTTATAATAATAAGTCTGTAAATAGAGATGGATTGAATAATGTTCAAGTAAAAAGATCAGTGAGGGATTACTAAGACGTGAAAAGTGACGATGACGAAAATGACGTTGCTAATCTTAGAATATTATATTGATATGAAATTAAATAAAATTTAGAAAATATTACTTACGTACGTTTAAGTCAACAAAAATTGTATTTGCAGAAATACTTGCCTTTTTTGCAACAAAGAGGCTTTAAACATTTTCTTGTTTATTACTTATAGAAAGCAAAATAATTTCTGTTATTTTACAAAATTAAAAGTGGTAAGTACTGCATTAATACAACACTTCAAAATTAGAATTCTGAATATAATTTACTATTTTATGATGAATTTATAACTAAATTTAATATAAGATAATGGAGAACTTAATAATAATAATTATTATTTATATCAGAAATAAGCGTGAATTTGCTGCGAGTGAATAAAAAGCAGGACAGTAATTAGGAAACGCTGATATGATAAGATAGGAAAGAATGAGGCAGTTGTTGTTGCGCAAACAAATTACATATTTTTATTTCTGCTGATCTTCTGAGAAAAAGCGGGGTGGAGCAAAAGAAATGATCCGCGTTATCGCGGGAGGAAATGCCTAAAAACCGGAAAGATAATCGATAAATATATAGATAGATTAAAGGAATAAATGAATGAGTAAATGAATGAATGAATGAATAAATGAATGAATGAATGAATGAATGAATGAACGAATGAATGAATGAATAAACGAATGAATGAATAACAGTTCTACTTTTTCACCAGCTTTATTAAATCAAACCTAATAAACGAAAGTGGATTTAACTTTTTTTAAAATCGAATCTTATTTATCCAATTTGTATATTATTCGTTTTAAATTTAAAAGCTATGATTAGAAAGATAATCTGATATTACAAAGTAAATCACTGCTGCTCAATTCGAATCAAGAAAATAATAAACAAAAATAATCATTTTATTAATTTTTTTAGAATTAGCCCTTCAGTAAGTAAAAAATTTGCATTTTTGAAAGGCATGTTATGAACTTTTCTCAGTTATCCTAAAATTATTTTGTCGCCAAATAACAAATATTACAAATTTTTAATCATTTTCACAAATAATTTTGTAGAAATTATATTTTTAAAATTCCAATAAATAAAAGGTTGAATTAATATGCAACACATCAAAGATAAACGGCCATTGTGGAGATAACAAATAACAAATCATAGAATGTAAGAAGTATTGACTTAAATGAGCTCAGTACTTCTTATTCTAATTGCTTATCACAATTTAATAAAATAGAGAATTTCAGGATGCATTCCGAATAATAATTACTGATAAGATTTGGATGTGATAACAATGAGTTGATTGCTAGGAGAAATTTTTTTGGTGCTGTATTCTTGTTTTAAATAAATTGTTTGAAAAATATCTGAATTATTTGTTAGCTCTTCAATATTAATTGTTTTCTTTTGCTGAAACATTTTTTGTTTATTTTTTAAAATATTATTTATTCATAATTTGCTTGTTAAATAGCAGCCAAATAATGAAATAAATTATTTTCTCGTTGATATCATGATAAAATTTGAAAGTATCCATAAATCAATCAAGGATTTAGTGATAATAGGTCGATTACAATATACTGATTTGGAAAAATGCGGATATTGAGATTTTTGGTTATAAAAAAAAAAGCATTTAAAAATGCTTGAGGCATTTTCGGATTTAAATAAAAAAGAAATAGTATTCATAAGGCAATCCTACCTTTGTCCGTGAAGGCAATTCTTGAGAAAAAATGTAATGAATAATTCAAAACTAAAATAAAGAGTCGAAAATATGGTCCTGTCATGAAAGAAAAGAAAAAATATTTACTTTTCTAGATGTATCTTTAAAATTTCTGACCACTGCATTTTTTATTATTTTATTAAATACCATTCAATATCCGGATCACATTTCAAGAAAAAAGACAAAAATAAATTAAAAACTAAAACGAAAACAACGTACGTGCTCACTTATCTTTTCTATACTTCAAGAAAATGAAATAACATTACGCTTAAATTTTACGTTGTATTCTTGAATACAACGTAAAATTTTTTTCACATAAACTTATCATAACGTGAAAATAAAGATGTAAATTATAAATTTTTCTAGTAATTTGCATATCTCAACCATTCAAATATTTTTTATTTTGCAACTATATTTGTGTTATTAACTTGTTAAAATGCTTCTAAACAAGTTAATGCCACGTAAAAATTAAACAAAAATGTGCGCAATTTTAAGAACAAAAAACATTTCTGACGAAAACAAAATTGTCCTAAAAATTTGCCAGAAAAAATTATAATCCCAAAATTTGTTATTATTTAGGACAATCTGCATTCTTACAATCAAGCGAAAGAAAAACGAATATATTTTTGAGCAAACAGATATATGCAAATACTTAAGGTATGTTGGTAAACATGTTCAAAAATATATATCATTGCAAATTAATACTGTTCATGCTGTTGATTCATAATAATATTAATAATTATTATTATCATAATTATTATAATTATTATAATTAGAAATTATCTTAGAAAAATGCAAAAACACTGAAAAACATATTTCAGTCACCAATAATTTTCATTCCTGAGATGAGCTTGCAAATCGAGTTGGATTAATTACTATAGACCAATGATAGTTTATAAAGATGAGGCAAATTTTAGTCGTGAACATGTTATCAGTAGAACAAAATCTAAAAACTTGTTTAATTATCATCAGCGATTAAAGCAATCACTTTAATTATGCAAGAGCAAACAAGCTCGAATATCAGACACATTCTCGGACGAACTTTACTTATTTACTTACCATTGCTAAAACTAATTTGTACTTTCCAGAATTGAGTATTTTGATTTTTTCCTTACTGCTTATTAATTATTAATAATTTGAAATGATTAAACTGTTTACTGAACAACTCCATAATTTAGATATCTGATGACTTCATTATTTTTTGAATTACATTTGATTTTCAAGTGTAAAATTTTGAACGCAAAAACATTTCAGTAATTTCATGTGATATTGAAAGTAAGCCTCAAGATAAACGTAAATATGTGAGTTAACATTTGTGAACAGTTTTTTATTCAAATTTTTGAAGTAATGCAAATGAAAAAACGAAAATCTTTGAAGCGTACACGATCACACGTCTATAATTCAAAATTTTCAAAATTACACTTGAAAACTGGAGAATTTGCGAAAAAAGTGATTATAAAATTACTAAAATATGCATCATTAATTTATCTGGGATTTAATTTAAATATTGTACACTTCAAAGACATTTTATAACTTTGTTATCATTACTAACTTCATAGCTTGCATATCTATATCAATGATTGTAAATAATAGAGAATTACTTTGTTAAATCATTTCTCTTACTCCAAAACAGGCTTGAAGCGAACTGTGATGTCATCCTTTACATCTTTGTTTATGAATTATTCTGCATCATAAAGCAATATGATTTCAGAGTTACGACAATGGTCGCAAATTCAAGTTTGGTGTTATCACAAGTGATTACTTTTGTTAAATTTTAACTTTCTTGAACTTTATTTCTTACTCGCAATTCTTCAAAATGTCTTTACTTTCATAAAAAGTGTCGACACTAGCATAATTGAATCTATTGTCACTTAATATCATAAAAAACTTGATAGATTATTTAAAAACTAAAACTAGATTCAATGTAGCAATAGAATGCATTTTAATTTCAAAAAGCATTTAAAAATTTTTTTGATTTTATTGTTTTAATTAACAGAAAATATAGCAGTACAAATACCTTTTAATTTTAAAATTTGAAAAAAATAGATATTAGAGCGAGTAATTAGTGAATTATGCTTGGCTGTTAGTTCTAATATCAGTTTGAATTTGAAAAAGCTATTCAAATTTTACTATAATCAAAATTTATGAAATTACACATAAATTTGAAAAGTTGACAGAGTACTCTTTAAAAATTTGAAATTAAAAATTACGCACAGATATATTCAAATAAAAAGCAAAATCAGTCAGTCAAAATGAAATTTGAAATGTAATTTGAAATGCCAACAATTTTGTGCTATGTAACTTTTTGAATTTAGCACAAATTTTTCTATATAAAAAGAGTAATCTTACGAATATTTTTCGTTAGAACACATTTATTATGAAAAATAGTTATGCTTACAAATAAATAGACAAAAACTTTAATACTAAAACGAAAAAAGTATCGTTCAAGAAGTAATGAAGCACAAGAAGTAAAATAATTTGAATGTTTTAACAAATAAATATTGCGGAAAAAATTGTATTATTAGAAGTCAGATTAAGCGATCACAGCTAACAAGGCACGATTTGCTATCTGCTAAAACTTTCAAATCTTCTTTCCTTGTACATATTCCTTCCACATTTGGTGTAAAATCATTCAATAAAGCAGCATTTCGATTTGGCGATGAATTATTAAATTTTAAAATCTGAAAATTTTAAAATTGGGATTACAATACAATTTAATCTTTTAATCCATTTGACAGCTTATTACACTTAAAATTCTATGGAATACAAAACTGGAAATCAATTCGTAATTAAAAATCTTATTTAATATCTTTTTTTTAAATAATAGATTAAGTTATTAAGTAGTCATAATTGAATTTTCTACAATATTGTATAATTTTCTAATTAAAATCTCAAAAATTTTGTTCATAAAAATTATCACAAGCTGAATTATTATCGCATTCTAACTGCATAAATTTTTTAATCACACAATTATTAAAAATATTAGCAATTAAATTTTGATTTTTCTCTGAAATTTATGAAAATTTTTGAATATAAAATATTGCATAAAAATTTATGGATAAGCAACTTTAATTCGTTCTTCTTCCCAACGTTTCCTTTCATCAGTAAAGAGATTAATTTGTTCATTAAGTGTATCACGTAATGTCGACACTTCTTCTCTTAAACCTTCAACTTCATTACGTAATTCTCGGTCTGACGGTGATTCCTTAAATTTAATTCTTTTCAAAGCTATTCTATTATTGTATCCCAAATTTAATTACGAAAAAGTAAATACTGCAATAAAAAGTATACTTCAGATACATTATTAACATTTTATTATCTTAAAAGTTATATAATTTTGTAAACATTGAAAAGTCCGTAACAAAAACCTTGGAATATCGTGGCATTGGTACTGGTGGTCTAATTCGCTTATCAGCATTACTGTTACTACGATTCATATTATTTACAGAACTACAATTGCATGGAAAGTACTTGCGACACGAATCGCATAGAGCTTCATTATTACGATTTTGCGATAATGCATCAAAACGCTCTCGCAATTGGAAAAGTTCACGTTCAATTTGCAAACACTATAATATTTGCGTGCTTTTTCAGACTGTATTAGAATTTGAGGTTCAATTTCAAAGTCACTGTACTAAAAAAGCTAATAATAATAAATGAAAAATCACTACATAACTGAAAATTTTATATCTTTTTGCATAATTATCTCACAAGCTAAGTAATCAGACTTGTTAGTCTAATTAATCTAGAATATGACGTCATAGTAAAATTAGTGACTTTGCGTTGAAGTGCTTGCTTATCAGTCGTAAGATTCTGTATAGTAATTCTATATTGTTCTCTTTGCTCGTTACACCGCTGAATTTGTTGTCTAAGTGCATTTTCCCCTTGTTGGCTAGCCTGAATCACAAAATTAAGAACTTAAAAGCAATCGTTTAAATATTTCAATCAAGAAAATATATATATATATATATATATATATATATATATATATATATA